AAATATTTGGTGGAAAATCTTTATCAAATAATTTTTTTTAAATAAAGGAGGCTTCCAAAAATTTATATACTTCAGAAAAATAATGATTTCTAATTCAAAATAGCAAATATAAAAATTTTAAATTGGTTGAACAATGAAGGAATATGAGCATTTGGACCTCCAGTATGGCGGCCAACGGGAAGTAACTCTTGGTCAATCGAAAACTATCTATTATAACTTTTTCCTATAACTTGTATTCCTTATATGTAAAACTTTGATCACCCATTGTGTTCCCATCCTTACCTATACTGAGGATGCTACCAGATAATATGACAACCATGGCTTTGCTGTTCTTGAGAAGAAATATTTTCAAGATTGTTCCTATGTAATTCAATGCAAAACATTGATCGCACATTGTGGCCCCACCCTACCATTGGGGGTAAGGTTGGGGGTCATAATTTTAACAAACTAGAATCTACACGCATTACCCGAGGATACTTCCATATAAATATGATCAGTCGTGGCTTCTCAGTTGAGAAAAAAATTTCCATGTGTATTCCTATGTAAATTACACTTAGATCACACATTTGTGGCCCCATTTTATACCCCAGAGGTCAATATTTGAATAAATTTGAATCTGCGCTATCTAATGGTGATTATACATAAGTTTCATATTTTCAAGCACAGAGGTTCTTGGGAAGAAGATTTTTAAAAGATGTCTGTTATTTATCACGAATTTTATAATTATTTCCCCTTTGAAGAAAGCTGGTCCCCTCATTTGAACAAACTTGAATCCCCTTTACCCAAGAATATTTTTGGCAAGTTTAGTTTAAATTAGAGATGAAAATGTTAAAAGTTGTATAATTTCTTATTTTAAAAAGTCCAACTGTTCGATTGTTTTTCCCGACTGTCGGTCCAGAAAATAGACAGGCACGTAGCATCGTTTTTGAAAGGGGGGGACTGAGAAAATTTTTTCTACTTACCTAAAAAATGTTGGCAAGCAAAAAAAAAAAAAAAATAAAAATGGCCCAAACTCGAAAATCCACCTTCGTGGGGGGGGGGGGGGGGGGGGGGGGCAACTTCCTTTCACTGAACCAATTTTTCCCTACATTTTCTAGCTATGAATATACTGTGGTAAAAAGTGGGGGGCCAACCATCTTCTCATAGACATTTCCTATAGTAAAGGTAATGTTGGGGAAAAAAGTGGGGCCCCCCTGCCCCCCCCCCCGGTTGCTACGTGCCTGATAGACAGTTAAAAAAGACTTGTTTGCTGGCGTCATGTGACGCTACTTGAGCCTCCAAGCCAAGTAATCGTTTCAAGTGAGTAATGACGTCCATATGACACGACCAGTTATGAATATATTTTGAAGTAAATGGAAAAGTGTAGCATTATCACTCTTAACCAGTTTATATTTGTCACAGCGAGACCATGCATGCATTTACAAAGATTTCATTATATCTTTTGATTGCATAACTAGAAACTATTTACAACAATTACCGGAATTTGTTTGGGGAGGAGGGTAATTGCTTTTAAGTGCAATTATATTCATTTCTCGCAAAAATTAGATGTAAACAATTAAATTTGTGATTTATACCGGTATTTACGTTACTTACTGGTCAAATAGACTAATAGACATTAGTAGAAAAACACATTACTAAATAATTTCACACCTTGCATGAAGTGTAAATGGCAACTTTTATTTTTAGATGTAAGAGATTTAAAAGACCATATTTTTCTTTCCTTATCACATGCAATTGTACAACTGTAAGTTCCGTAATCACAGTATTTTTTTTAATTACTGTTCACGGAGAGAATAGGATTTATTGTTTATATAGTGAAAAGGGATCGTTTTTATATTATAGGTGTTGTAGTATCGATCATAATATCAATTTTAAATCTCTATTACATTATATTCAGATCTACTTAATTCTTTACGTAATCATTTTTTCTACGTATTTGATTTGTTTAGTCAAGAAAACTTTTCATTTTTTACTTATTAATTCATTATCAAATCACTATACGACTAACTTACTTTCATTATTTAGTTAAGGTAGGGTTCTTCTCATATTTTTGTATTCGAAAATTAATGAAATTTTCATAGAATTAGAGGATAATCTCAATAAGTGATTGTATCAATGAGATGAAATCTGACATTTTAGATTAAAGGCAAGGTCAGGCCAAGGTCATTACCTTTTCCCTAGACATTAAGAATGAAAAAATAATGTTGCCAATCATGCGATCCATACTTGTATTTTATTGCAATAAGATAGAATCAAATTGACATAATTAGTTTAACTCTAATCATTGATATTCGCTAATTAGAATTTTCTCTAGTTTTCATAATTTTTAGGATCTATTACATGTAGTTATCTGTATTTGCTTCCTTTATTTAATTTTTTCTTATTTTCACTTAAAGTACACTGTAAAAATTGTGTTTAGGATTTAAACACTTCCATGACATGTTTAGATCTAAACATGTATAGAAATATGTTTATAAACTAAACACTCATGTCTAAACATGTTTTATATCTAAACGTGTTTAGAAATTAAACACGTTCTGCTGTAGAATGCAGAGTTATCTTCCCGGAAATGACACAAATACTCGTATATTTGAACGTTAATTTGAGCGGCCATCGAAACAAAGTAAATTACAATAGGCTTAAGAGGCGTATCAAGGAGAGATACTGACAACCCAACGGGTAACCATGAAGAAATATTGAAAATCATTTGAAAGGCATCTTTTTACTGCAATATATTAAAGGTATGTTTTCTTTTTATTAAGATTTGCTTTATTAAACCACGATGAGCAATGTAAACAGTGCCTTTGAGGTCGTTTATAGACTTGTAGGCGAGGAGGTTATATTGAATTTCATTAAAAATAACTATTTTAATTTACGTATAGTTCCAATGCGACTTGAAAAATTGATGTCATCTTCAATGGGCAGCATACAATACTTTTACTTAAATCTGACTTTCTTTCCTACAGGTTATGTGAGTAGTCAGAATTGGACTCAAAGCATGTATGTATCAAAGTACATGCATCTGTGCATGGCGTCATCTTCAAGTGCAAATTGTTGTTCCTTGATCAACACTAAGAAACGTATTTTTATGAAGTGTATTGGGTTACCCTTAATTCGACAATGTTCGGTGGATTTGAATATATGTACCTAGAATTATCATTTTGTGATTTTCCTTGTGCATTTGAAATGGATTACTTTTCGGCAGTTTAATACTAATGGGATATTATATCATGTGGTGCAATGTAGTGATTTAGGACTGCTGAAAGTTAATCAAGTTCGACATTTTGATGACTGACATATGGAACACTCTGCAATTGATTGACACTGTAATTAATCATATGCAAAATATTATATAAAATAAATTTTTTATAATTGTAATTGAAATATCTTTAATAATGCATTGTTAAAAAGATTAAAGGAAGTTGTGATATAAAATCGCTAGCGTATTTTATTTTTGTTCTCATACCTGCGTTATAAATATAATGTATGTCATGCTGATTGAACTTACAGTGATCAAAATATTAAACTTGTGTAAAAAGAACATCATACAAAGTATCTACATATCTAAACAACCAGAGGCCTTATGATGAATAATTTATATCAGTTGATATTTTGAAAATTTTGAAAATATTATGTGTATTAAAAAATATGCTCTTTGTGCCAAAATTTACAAGTGTTTATCGTTTTTCTGCAGTTACACTTGTTTATATGGTAAATTTAGATATGTTTAATTTCTAAGCACATAATTAAGAAATGGGTTTAAAATTCAAACACTTTTCTAAGCACTTTTTTGTCACCTTCTTTTTTATATGTTTAATTCCTAAACATGTAAAATTTCTAAACATGTATGAGAAAGTGTTTAGAATCTAAACACTTATGTGCTTCCATTGTAAACACTTTCTCATACGTGTTTAGAAACTAAACATGTTTAGGAATTAAACATATAAAAAAGAAGGTGACAAAAAAGTGTTTAGAAAAGTGTTTGAATTTTAAACACATTTCTTACAGTGTAAAGTTGTCACATAGAGATACAAAATTATACAAAAACAAAAAAGTTTTAAATTGATCGTTTACCAAAGGAAAAAACATATTTAAAGATGTTTGGCACAAATCTTTAGTCTAAATTGTGTAAAAATTATGACTTAATTCATTGATCTGTAATAATTTTGAGAGGCAGGGAAGAATTTACGATATTTTCGTACGCCACCACTCTGCAAAAAATATAGACTCTGCTAGTTTTCAAACGTAGTTTACCATTTCCATTTGTTGAAGTTGTACAATTGTGGTGGGGAAAGAACAATATGGTCTTTTAAATCTCTTACATCTTATATATGTTTATATACAAGCAAATATACTTTGAATGTTTCATCTTGTCAGAAACCAGAGAACAATTCTACCTCAAGACAAATTATTTTATTTTCATGTAGGAGCTGCTTCACCCTATTTTCACTTACTCAATTTTAATTTTAAATCCTCTATTTTTCTCATTTTCTTATATTTTTTCAAAAGCAACATTCATTCCCCAGGATCATTATCATTTTGTTTGATATTTTGCATACAATTTATACAAACTATAATAAAGATTTTTTTAAAATTATTAACTTTGTCTCCTAATCATTTAATTACTTGTCTCACTCTATGCGGATCGATTCAAACTTACCTGCAATTAAAAGTTTAATAAAAGGGTTTAAATATTATTAAAACAAGCAACTTAAAAACACACACAAACAACACAAAGTACAGAACAATTTTATAAGAATTTACTGAATGCCTACTACGTACGTTTTTAAAATGAATTAGGAGTTAACTTACATTCATTTGGAATTTATCCGTCTATTGATCATTTTAAAAAAAGTTGATTTATATTTAATACCCTAGATTTGACATGAAATGTACATCAGATCATCTTTTAAAAAATGGTAAAACTCTTGATAGATCTACTGACCGTCGATTTACTGCTTCGATTACTTTCAGTACTTCGATTCTTTTTCAATCGCGATGCGTCATCACTGGGAACTTGTTTTACACGCTGCCGCAGTGAAAACAGAGCTGCCCCGATCCACGTTACAAGTCATTCAACAAGATGCTAGACTTTGTGATTTTTGCAGCGACTTTCCTTATTGCCTTATTGATAGCCGTAATTTACTTGTATCCGGTAAGATTTTTTTATATTTATGTCATGCCGTAAATTTTGTCACTTATAGTTTTGTCTATGTATGATGGAATACACGGAACGTTGCATATGTGTGCATCTGCTCTGGTGTGTACTCCGTGTAGCATTCCAGATGTCATAAAAATATGAATAGTGAATTAAAAGATGTTAGATTATAGTTTCTACCTAGCTTGTTGCTCATTAACCATGCTAATCTTACCAGATTATTAACATGTCTTCTTACGTCAACCATTGAACCAATAAAAATCACAGCGTTTTGTAGCTGTCCCGCTCTGACTCACATTTGCGTTACAAACGTCAACAGGTGTGTCAGAGGTTTAATGGGGCAAAAACACCAGGGGCGGATCCAGGAATTGAAGTTAGGGGGGCGCAAGATTTCGGCAGGGGGTCCAGTGGGTCCAGGGCAAAGCCCTGGTGGGGGCCCAGGGGGCAAAGCCCCCGGAAGCTCATGGATTCTAGAGATTTTGTAGGGTAAAAATGAGGTCTACAGAGTAGACATTTTAAACATTTTCTCGACAAAACAATGTTTTATGCTAACTTTGACAATTTTAGGGGGGGGGGCGCGCGCCAGGTGCGCCCCCCCTTAAATCCGCCACTGAACACGGACACTGGAGAAAGCAGAAGAGCATTAGCTTATATAGGTGCCGAGCTGGAAACACAGTACTTATTCATCACTGTTCATGAAATGCACCCCCTCCCCCCACTTTACTCATCATTTAGAAGGGGATATTTAAATGCCGATGTGATAGAAGGAAGTCACAAACTTCAAAGCCCACTTTTCACCTAGTAAAGTGCAGTAGTGACATAAATAAACACACTTTAAATTTTATTAAATATTCCAGTTGATACAGTTCACTGAAGAATTCTAATGGATAGAGTCTTGAGAGCACCCATAAATTGCCATTGGCATAACTGACACCTCCATATCAACCTGTACTTCACTAGACAAAATTGCTAACACCCACTTAAAACACAGGCACCTGATGTTACTTAATTTTCTTGAACATGTGAAAATAAAAAATATAATATATCCTCTATCTAATAATATACAATTATGGACTCTTTTGGTGTTGAATATGGTTTGTTATTCACCAGAAAAATATTCATATTGACTGAGGCGAAGCCGAGGTCAATATGGATATTTTTCTGGTGAATAACAAACCATATTCAACACCAAAAGAGTCCATAATTGTTTTATTATATAGCATACTTGCCAACCTCCAGCATGTAAAAATCTGGTCATGACCAGATTTGGAAAGTAAAAAATCTGGTCATAACGCGTAACGACATTCACGACATATTTACCATGATTAAATTTGATACATTTATATACAAAGTTTTAGTGTATTGAGAATTCTTTTATTGAAAAAGGATTTAATTTACTATGACAAAAAATTCATACATAATTTGATTTAAATTTACATGTTAAAAAAAAAGAAAATTGAAGGTTTCATGTATTAGTATTGACCTGAAGTGTGCATTTTTTTTAAGCCTTTTCAGTTTCTGCTAAATTTGAAAGTATACCAATTTCAGTTTTTAAGTTATTTTTCCTCTCTCTTAATTAATTAACTACTGCAATATGTTTTAAATGTGAAGTTAGGCCTACACTGTTATCGATCACTTTATTTTATCTAGAATGAAAGGTTTTTTCCAAAGATTCCTTGATGTGTACATAAATATCGTTTCTTTTTTTCTCGGTTCAATCAGAGACATGTGTTTAGTTCAACTTGTTCCTGTTGGACCTGATAACGATTTAGCTCTATCGGAAGCCATTTTAATTTACTTCAAACATTGATTTGTCAAAACAACACCCAGTTAATTGTTTACACCTGCACTGATAATTAATCCATCGGCATTGTTTACGTAGATCTAAGCTTGGGTTGTAACTGGAAGTTAAAAGTGCAACCTAATTTACGAACCAAATCCGGAAAATCGGGAGATTTTCGGGTTGATCGGCAAAAATCGGGTGATAAGCATGACCCGCCGGGTCATAAAAAATAATCGGGTTACGGGTTGAAAAATCGGGTGTGACCCGACGAAATCGGGTGAGTTGGCAAGTATGTTATATAGTCGGGATTTGAATATATAGATAAGACATTGAAGGCTGTATGACGACACCATTTTCATTTGCGATCTTCCATGGTTGAAAATGAAAAAAATCTCCAGATTACTGTTTGTAACCTCCGTGTTTTCCTTTCCGAGTTCCGCTATGTGTAAGACGTCCATATGTTAAAAAATAATCCTGAAATAGGTTTGAATAATTGTTTTCGTGCTCAGATACGTAGCTCGCCGCGGCCGTTGCAACCATTGTTTAGGCCAAACAAAAAAATACCTTTGTTTACTGTTACATGCTGAAATAAAATAGGGTCGGTAGGTAGGAAATTTTTTTTATTTTATTGAATTTTTTTTATACACAAATTCACATGAATTGGTTGAATTACAAAACAGTTTTACCATTGTATGGTGCCTTTATACTTTCGTTTGGCTTCAAATATGGGTGGTTTCTTGCCAACTGTCTTAGGGGTGTGCAATTAAAAAAAATCAAGTACTAGCCCACAGGCTTACAGTAACAGCAATAAAGGTACTAGCCCAAAGTTAAAAGTGAGCAGTCCAAATATAGGGGCAAAATATTGTAAAAACAAATATTGTAAAAAGTTCATTGTTGAGAAAGTCAGGGTCCTAAGCCATCCATTTTAAAGTTGAAGTTTAAAAATTTTAAGAAATTATATTATCTTTTCTTTTCTGAACATATTGTACCAGCAGTGTAGCTTATCTAAAATGAAGCAAAATCATTTTATTTTCATTTCAAACCATTAAATACAATTGATATATATTAAAGTTTAACCACATAACACTTAGCTATTAGTTGATTGGGGGACCGTAAATAATGGAAAGAGATAGCTGCATGTATTTACTATTAACAGAGGAATGGAGGAAATTCGGATTAGGAAAAAACGATCGTTTTTTGAAGTAAATAAGTCAGGTAGTACGTCAAAATGGATAAGGTTAAAGTAATTTAAGAACAATTGGGGCATGTTACCTTGAAAATTTTCATTAGTTGGAAATTAAATAGCAAAACAATGAGTGAAAATACCGTTTGTATTTCTCATGTATTATATGCATAATTTTTATTTTTACTACCCCAAAAACGGTAGCACCGGGCATCAGGCGATGCTAGTTGCACACCCCAGCAACTGTCACGCAATGGTAAGCAAATTGCAACGAACTCGTTGGTGTAGAAATTGCAACTCGCTGGTTTTGTTTTTGTACTTTCAATTTCGATTTCAAAGATGAATGTAAAAGTTAAACTGACCGGCCAGTAACTTCCGGATTTTTACGACGAAAAAAAAGTTTGGGTCGGCGATGAAAATTAGGGTCGGTCGGGTAACCGTAAACAAACATATTTTTTTGTTACGCCTTACAACGTTGTTCGATGTTTTGATTGTGACGTCACAATGCCGTTGCACGCGCATTGACCCTCCGGTGAATACGGCCTAAAATCCGGTGAATATGTAGTGTTATGAACTGTTTGCGCTTGTATAGATTATATAGGGAATATAAATAGACTATATAATAATACACATTATTATATAGTCTATTTATATTCCTTACATAATCTATAGAAGCGCAAACAGTTCATAACACTACATATTCACTGGATTTGAGGCTGTATTCACCGGAGGTTCATTGCATGTGTAGTTGCATTGTGACGTCACAATCGATACCTCAAACAACGTTGTAAACAATGGTTGCAACGGCCGCAGCGAGCTACATATCGGAGAAGGAAAAATATTATACAAACCTATTGCAGGATTATTTTTTAACATTTGGACCTCTTACACGTATCGAAACTCGAAAAGGAAAACACAGAGGTGAAAAACTGTAATCTGGATATTTTTAACGACGGAATTTAGTAAATGAAAATGGTGTCATCATTCAGCCTTCAATGTCTAATTTATATTCAAACTCCGACTATATAATAAAACAATTATGGACTCAGTCAATATGAATATTTTTCTGGTAAATAACAAACCATATTCAACACCAAAAGAGTCCATAATTGTATAATATATACACCGGCACCATCTAATGAATTGTTCTAAGTCTGTATGTGTACGTCACAGGGTCTTCTTGGGATTTGTTGTGATGAAAGGAGGTTGCATTAGTTGCAAGGTCGTTGGAACGCTTACTTGAAGCTCTCTAGCTCTGGGGTGTGGTCAACTTCCTCTTCTTAGGTGGTGCCAGTACTAAAAATAGCAATATCTGTGAAATACTTTCAAAACGCTACTACTGCTACAGTTTTAGTATGATTTCAATATTACTTGGCACACAGGTAGACTACATAATTCTGTGTATCAGTTTTTTATTTCAATGAAGGGTGTTGCCGTGGTTACTGAAAATAGAAATTTTTGTGACAGTGAAATACCTTCATTTTCAAAATGCGACTCCTCTTACAGTTTTGGAATGATTTGAATTCAATAAAACTGGGTACATTAGGTAGACTACATTAAGCTTCATTAATTATATGTATTCGTTTTTGATTTGGATGAAAGGTGTTATTGATTTTTATGAAGTTGTGCAATTTATTTATTTTTCAGGGATCCAGAAGAGTTACAAGCATACCAGGTCCAGAGCCAACAACAAAAGAGTTAGTCATATTTCTCTTTACATGCTTTATATTTTGAATTTTTGACTTACTTAAATTTGATTTATATGTCTAATTGAGCTAATCTCAGCAAGGGACTCACACCTCCTGAGCTAGCTAGCATTGATTAATAGGTCATTTAATTTGTAATTTTCAAAAAAATTCAAACTAAGCATAAAAATTGGTTGTGACCATTTGGTTTGTCACAACACTGCAACATGATCATTCTTAAAAGGTCAAGATTATTGAGGTTAAGTGTCAACGTCAAGATCATACTTACCCTCTGGGTTGAGAATAAATGAATAAAAAGTCCTGACCCTGCATGTAAGGTAATTTGTCAATTGATAAGGTCAACATGGTCAAGGTCATACTATAAGCCCTGAATGTTTGTAAAAGGTCAAGGTCAGGTCAAGGACATTTTAAAGCTACAACTGTAGATGATCAATATTTTCAGAATTGAAAAAAAGGGGTCTTCATGTATAACACCAAGTGTTTCATCCTTTAGCCTAGAACCTCAGAAGATTCAGTATCATGCTTTGGAAAAATTGTCCGAGGGGATGGGGTTTGAGTGGGGGGGGGGGGGAGGGGGGTCATAGTAGTCCTGTTAGGACAGAGTTTTTTTGATGAAATTTAAAATGTTAAACTTAACAACAAATGCGGTAAATTCCTTATTTTGTGTGAGTACTTATTATCGCGATATGGCTATTTAACATTCAATTGCAAGAATATTTATTTGCAAATGGGTGGTTGATAAGGAGAATTTACATGGAATACAGCACCAATAAAAGTGAGAATTTTATTTCCTGATCGAGTGATGCATGCTTCCCACTGAATTACAGGATAATTAGTTAATTTTACTTGAGTTTTTTTTTTAATTTACAGTACCTGAAAGAAAGTCATCATGGATATTTGAAAAAAAGGGTATTTATTGTATTTTTTATAAGGTTTATTAAAATGAATTTTCATTATGTAATGTAACGCTGTGACTATTTAGAGATGGGAACCTGTCAGACATTGCCCGGGCTGGGAGTTTACACGAGTACCTCCTGGAGCTTCACAGTCAGTACGGGGACATCACCGCCTTCTGGATGGGACAGGAACTTGTCGTCAGTATCTGTTCTCCTGAACTCTTTAAACAGCACGCAGCCGTGTTTGATCGACCACGTATGTTAACCATAAAACAGCTATCATAATTACAGCAACTGCAATCCATTAAGTTGAGATAAGTCTGAGTTTAAAAATAAATGGAAATAGTCTGAGATTAATGATAAAAGGATTAGTTTGTGGCAAGGAATTGTTGTAAAAAAGAAATTTTTGCAACTTGCATGCCAAACAAAATGCACTGTATCTTGATTAAAATTTGCTTCAGAATTAAAGAACATCGTTATCATATAACAATATTTTATACTGGTAATATAATCCTACTTGGCATTTAGGTTAGATATTCAATGGAAACTCATTAATATGAATTAAGAATATTTTAAAATACTGTGGATTAATTCATTAATTTTCGTTGACATCAATTTTCGTGGATTTTGTAAAACAGCTGACATTTTCAAGGACACGTTATTTCATGGACAAAAGCATTGTCTTTACAAATGATTATCATATTCTTCAATTGAATGAACAATTGAATTTGTTGATCTGCTCAACAACAAAATCCTCAAAAATTGATACTCATTGAATATTGATGAATCCACAGTAGTTAGTTATCAGAGACTGAAATAAAGAATTGGAGGGGAATTCCATGTCTCATAAATTACTCTTCTCAAGAAGGAGTAGCATTTTTGAAAAAAAAAAGATTGACTTTAAAGTCTTGGAATATATTTAATAAATTCTTACTTTTTATGAATTTCCTCCTTACAGCCTCCTTATTTGAGCTTTTTAAGCCACTGATTGGAGAGAAGTCGATCCAGTACGCCAACAAGGCTGAGGGAAGAAGACGGAGAAAGTGTTACGATACTGTGCTGGCCCATGATTACCTACATCACTACTACCCAGCGATTCAGGAGGTACATAGTTCTTGTTAAGGTTCAGTGAAGGGTGACCGGGGGTTTACCTTGGTGTTTTATTTTTTACATCACTGATTTTACATCACTGACAAAAGGCTTCTGGGTGTATGGAACACAACTAGAAGTAAATCCCTGTACACCCTTGGTTGGACTTGGATAACCAAAAATATCCCACGTTAACCCAAGTCTGATCATTTAGGTTTCAAACTCTCAATAAGATTTATTAGGTGCAGCTAATTAAGTAATCAATTAGGCAGGACTAAAATGTCAAACATGTTTTTTTAGATATCCCTAAAATGCTGATTTGCCTTACCTGTTGATTTACAAGATATCTATATAATTTCCTGTTTGATCAGATTTTTAGTATGAACTGTAAAATAATACAGAGATAAAAAATAAGGAGAGTTTTATAAACAAAAAATGATATAAAATTTAAAGTGTTTAATCGGGTGAAGGGGCAATGTTTGCAATCATTTCTGATTAGTATATTTTAACTCGGTCTCTATAAGTAGAATTTTTAGTTAGGATTCAATCTCGGCATAATTGGCAAGTGCGTTGAGGTTGCTAAGAATCAAATATTACTCAAAATACACTCCGTTTGAGATGCATGGTCATTTACTGAATTTTTTCCCATGTTTACCCCTTTATCCCATGGATATGGCTCTTGTGATATCATTTTGGTTTCCCAAAGTTGTGACGTCACAATGGGTTTTGCATTTAGCGTAATGAAGTACAAAGATAAAGTAAAGTGCTTTATAAAAAAACAGTTTAAAACATTGATTGTAGCGTATAAAACAAAATGTAAAACATGGGATAAAAAGAATCTCACAAGATTTGTAGTGGGATGAGATTTTTATCCATCTAGTTGTGTGTAAAACACACAACAAGACTGATAAAAATCATATCCATTTACAAATCATGATCCTGTATTATATCAATTTTTCGGAACAATTAAGTTTCTAAATATATCTTGCTAAAAATTCCAATTAAATACTGTCTGTAATCTTAAATAATATTTTATTCACAGATGTAAAGATGAATAGGATAAAGGCTGAAGGCTCAGTCTATTTTTTCCCTCTCTGTAATCTTTTCTTAATCAGTGAAAAGACTAATAATTTAATCATATGAATTTTTAGCTCACCTGAGCCAAAGGCTCAAGTGAGCTTTTTGGATCACAATCTGTCCGTTGTCTGTCGTCGTCGTCGTTGTTGTCGTTGTTGTCGTCGTTGTCGTCGTCGTAAACTTTTCACATTTTCATCTTCTTCTCAAGAACCACTGGGCCAATTTCAACCAAACTTGGCACAAAGTATCCTTGGGTAAAGGGGATTCAAATTTGTTCAAATGAAGGGCCACGCCCTTTTCCAAGGGGAGATAATCATGAATTTGTTAAAAATAAAATGCAATTTTAAAAAATCTTCTTCTCCATAACCGCTGGGCCAGGAAAGATGAAACTCCTGTGGAAGCATCCTCAGGTAGTGTAGATTCAAGTTTGTTCAAATCATGACCCCCGGGGCAAGGGTGGGGCCAAAATGGCCGACCCAAGTTTTACATAGGAATATATTGGAAAAATCTTTAAAAATCTTCTTCTCCAGAACCACTGGGCCAGGAAAGATAAAACTCATGTGAAATTATCCTCAGGTAGTGTAGATTCAGGTTTGTTCAAATCATGACCCCTGGGGCTAGGGTGGGGCCAAAATGGCCGACCCAAGTTTTACATATGGATATATTGGGAAACCAATATATTTAAAATCTTCTTTTCAAGTACTTCAAAGCCATGATTAGTGATATTTATATAGAATCATCCTAAGGTAGTGTAGATTCTAGTTCAAATCATGAACCCCTGGGAGGTTAAAATTCAAGCCCCCCCCCCCCTCCCCCCATCATCACCTAAGTAAACTTTCAGTTCTGATCTGATATGTGCTTTTTCCTAGCCAGTGTGCTCAGGTGAGCGCTGTGGCCCCTGGGCCTCTTGTTTTCTTTTCTTTTCTAAACCACTAATTATTTTTTCATTATTAACAGATTTCTGATAACTTGGTGAAGAAGTGGTCCAGTATAGCCAAAGACGAGCACATCCCCTTGGCTCAGTACATGATCGGGTTTGCTTTAAAGCTGGGACTGGTCAACTTGTTTGGGAGTAAAGCCTGGTCAGACGAACAGATTCTTGAGTTCAGTCATCAGTATGAAATTGTACGGTCAGCTTTAGTACTGTAGAATCATTGTTATATGGGTGTGTGTGTGTGTGTAGATAAGATAATTACTTGTACATGTAGGTTTTGTTTGTGTATGAATAAAATTACTGTTATAAGAGTATATACATGGTAGATATTTTTAAAGGCATGGCAGGAAATGGAGAGGAGGTTAACAGAGGGTTTCCCCCAGGACGGAAGTTCAAGAATGAAAGCTTTTGAGGAAGGTAAGATTTATCTTGGCTAAGTGATGGAAATTATTTCCAAAAAACTTATTGGACACTTTCATGCCAAGCAAGTACAGAGACGCCTTAATATTTGGTGTGCTAAAGGTATGCCCTACCCCTTATTCATGATGTCACCAGTAATTCATCACAAACTTCTACTAAAAATGTTTAATATGCCACAAAACACATACAGTGTGCTAATGATATTATATTGACATTTAAGAAATAAGATGAAATGAAGTCGGTACGTAATCAAATCTAATATTATATAAGAAGATTGTTTTCGTAATTCTCATTGGCTGAAAGGATGTCACGTGATATTCCTCCTTTTGTGATAACGATGTGAAAGCGCGTCGGCAGAAAATGATAATGCATGACACAACGTTCGGTTGCACTGAAGTTACGTAAAAGGTGATGTCATAATATAAGAAGCGTGTTTTCAACCATTGTGACGTAATGACAGCCAAGTCTGTTAAGTAAGGACTGTGTCAGTGCATTCACTTTGAGTGATTATATAATATAACTATTATGGACTTCAGTGAACGGTCAATATATGGTTATTGGTCGCTATCACTTTCTGTGTCTTCGGTCAATATCAATTGCCATGAGTCCTTATAACCACATATCGACCTACACTGAAGTCCATAATTGTATACTATAATGCCCAAAGGGCGTTATATATTTTGATCACGTGACCAACATCATGTCAAATCCCAAAGACACTCTAAAAATGATATTTAAAGACAAAATGCTCTATTTAGACTTCGTAATTGAATTCAACATAATATAAAATTAAATGTCATATGACGTCACAGTCAAAAGACTTTCCAAATGTTTTGTGCAGTTTGCTTTCCAGACGCAAGAAAGTCTGATCATGTGACCAACTGCATATCATTGAAAATTGAATTTCAATTTTTTAGTATTGTCTTTTAAGGAAAGACATTGGCAAATCTAAATATTTCATTTTGAACATTTATCTTCTAGTACAGCAAAGAATGTGCAGGACAATTTACTGAACATTCCTAGTTTTTCTTTCTTTGCTCATCCTACAGTAGTACCAGTACATAAAGTAATAATTTTTTTAATTCATGAAAGTTTGTAAAGAGTAGTCTAAATGCTACTTTTCACCTTCTCTCTTTCAGCCAAGAAAAGGATGTCGGAGCAGGTCAACAAAATAATAAAAAACTGCAAGAAACACAAAAAAGACCCGAATGAATATTTATTGATAGACGCGGTACTAGAAAGCACAACAGACGAGGAGCTGGTCTTCTCAGATGCCCTAACTTACGTCATCGGGGGGTTCCACACGACAGGAAATGGTAAAATTTACTTAACTTCCTATATTACTAGATGAAATAGTAAAGTTAGAATTTCATACTTATTTATTATTAACTACATTAATTTGTAAAGTTACTGCTTTAAGTTTTATGAAGCTTATACTGTAGAACCATCTATAAATGAAATGAGCCTGTTTGTCTAGGCTGCTTGTGTTAGAATTGCCATCCCATACCAAAAAAAGGTACAGATTAGGCATGCCTATTCTTGATAAATATAGGCACAAAAAAGGTATACCTAAAGTATACAAGTTTGGAACCACTTCTTCAAGTATAGGTAGCAAATTGGTACAAAAAAGGCATACTAAAGGTATACTTTTCAATGATTCATTTTTTTCTATTTCACATATAGGTACATTTTAGGCACACATAAAACATTAGATTGAGCAGTGAGGCATACCTAAAGTATGCCTATACATAGTATGGCATATAATTCTAACAGTCAGATAGGTACATTTTAGGTATACCTAAAAGGTGCCTACATATCAATCTATTAGGTACCTTCAAGGCTGTGCCAAAAGTATGCCAGAGGTATACCAAAAGTATACCTACAAGGTACCTATATTGTACCAAAAGCATTAATAGGCACATTTTAGGTACTAAAAAAGCACAATATTGGCACACCATCTAACTAGACCAGTAGGTACATTCCAGGCATACCTAAAAAGTGCCTACATATCAATCTATTAGGTACCTTCAAGGCTGTGCCAAAAGTATGCCAGAGGTATACCAAAAGTATACCTACAAGGTACCTATATTGTACCAAAAGCATTAATAGGCACATTTTAGGTACTAAAAAAGCACAATATTGGCACACCATCTAACTAGACCAGTAGGTACATTCCAGGCATACCTAAAAAGTGCCTACATATCAATCTATTAGGTACCTTCAAGGCTGTGCCAAAAGTATGCCAGAGGTATACCAAAAGTATACCTACAAGGTACCTATATTGTACCAAAAGCATTAATAGGCACATTTTAGGTACTAAAAAAGCACAATATTGGCACACCGCATAACTAAACAAAAAGGTACATTTTAGGCATATCAAAAATGGGCTTTTGTCGACAAATCAACCACAAAACCCTCGAGTTAAAAATTTCTTTCTCCATCAAAAATTTTTAAATTTTTGGCCTAACATGAAAAATACATACTTATCATTCCTTGTGAATGGGGCAGGACTATATTAAGGAAGAATTTAAGAATAATTATCAGGTTCAAGTAAAAACAAGTAAAAATTTATTATATGATGCTACATGAAAATATATATGAAAAATAACTATTTTAAATCCTCTCTATAAACATATGACAAATCTCCTATATTTAAAACAAAAATAATATTGTTACCTTTAACAAAATAATGATATTTGTAATATCATTCTTTGCAAGAAAAAAAATAAACACACCTTTTCAGCATATACAAAACATAATTAATGCAATGTAAATACACAAAGACACCGTAAAGGTATTGAAAGTATACTCCATTTCATGTCCTTTTTTTTGGCCACACATTATTCACTTGCTGCATGTGCAATTCATGTAATCTTCATTACTTTCATAGAGTTTTTACCCAATTGGCACCACAGAATTTTCTGCACAGTAATAGACCTTTTACCAGGGTAAATACTCATTTCTGTACAGTTGAGATTTTCATCTGGACTCCTTATAAAAAGTGATCCTCCATTTGAATGTACCACGCAATTCCTTCTTTCATGCCATTCCCTTCAATTCTGAAAAAGTTGTTGCTCTTGAGTCTTAACTTTGAAATTATTTTCAAAAATATTAAATCCAATGTGTGAATCTATAGGGGAGGGGTCCGGGGAGTCTGGAACTTCCTTCCTACTTGCATATATGTATATATTATGTAATTAAATGTATATATATACTTATTAATCAATTAAAAGTGATTTGGACACTCCCCCCCCCCCCCTTACCCTGTTACGATCTGCATCTGAAATTCCTAAAATTTACAATGGAGTTTGAAAAGTGGTGATTAATTTTACTATATTACTATATTTATATATATTTTTTTTCAAAATCAGATTAGATTTCATACTTACTGACAGAGTTATAGTCTTTATGCATTTCCCCCAAGTTTAGAATGACTACAGGGGACAAGAATTTTGCTGAAAAAGAAAGTTTGTTCATGAAATTATCTGACATTATAATTAACAAAGTTTACACTTATTTGTATACATAATATTTTTTAAATATAATACTGAAACATTGTCACTCTGAAATAAATTATGTGTGTCATACCCCCCCCCCCTTCTTTTTCTTGCATGAACCAAGTGGAGAGATGGGGTTTAAATGATTTTATGTAAACTTATAACATAAATTCAAATCAGTTAATTTTGTTATACTATGTTTTATAAATGCTGTAATTTTGATACTTTAAATTAAAACTATTACATGTTAGAACCCCCCCCCCCCCCATTTTTTCTTTTAAATAGTGCTTTTACTTTATATTTCAAATTTCATATGCCAATGATTAAATTTTCACACTGATCATTTGAATTTCTGTTTGTTATTATCGCCATGCTCATGCAGAGGCTACTGTACATAACCTGTTCCCGCGATATTGACACGTTAATTACTGGTATTATTATTTTTTAAAAGACTCTGAAATTGTGAAACACCTTTTATGTCTTGTTACACATCAGGTTAAACAAAATAATTATTATTTATATGTCTATACTTCATGTGTAGGCTGTAGCACTGGCTACACGGCCATCTTGAATCAAAACAAACCAAAAATTTACGGTACAATTACCTAGAACTTCGTAAAATTTACACTTGATATTCACATTCTAATGCATTCTTTACGTGCACAAATACAATAACAACAAGCAGCATGAAAATTTACACTGAAATAAAGACTTACCGAACTATAATTCTCCGATTTCTTTTTGAGGCTTTCATCTCGGCAAATTTTCAAAACGTCTCAGAAATGTCCGCGCTCTCCACTGACCAATCGTAGACTTCGCTGGAGTCACGTGATTTTATTAAAATTTATTAAATTATTCATAAAATATTTCGTGTAAACAATTTATAATTATAACAATGAACATTTAACAATTATTTAATGAAGCCCCAACTTAAACTGAAAGCCGATTGCGAAGAAATCCTTGAAATTTAGCGTGGCTATTTTGGGCAAATAATTGAACCGCCATCTTGACCGCCATTACTATTTTGTGTTTGTTTACATAACAAATCACCCTAAAATTGATTAGGCCCCCTATTTTTTTTTTAATTATTCATAATTTTCTTTCATGTTAGTTTTCAACTATAAAATCTTAATTAATGTAACTGACTGTGACACCAGAGAGTGAAACAAACATCGAAATACATGTATGTAAATTATTACAGTATACAATCCATAAATGCCTAGTATGTGAACATGGTGAATAATTATAAATGATAAGCACCTGTATTTTGTGCATCTTGGGGGCTATTATTTGTATGAAAATTCTGTAAATGTACACTTTTTTTTACTGCTACTGCCTAACTACCGGCAGAGACCTATATACTACCAGTATATAGGTCCCTGCTACCGGTAAAAGTTAAAGCATCTCTATTTATTTCATTCTGTAATTTATTCTTCTGTATTTTACCCATTCATGTTGAGCTGAAAAATCTAATGAAATCACCGTTTTGTCAAGTTTGTGGTTTGTGGAGAACTACATGTGATACACGAACAATTTCTGCAGGGTGAAGGTCATCCGGTATTAACACCGAATACTGAGGAAATCGACATCGTTTTGCATTCAAAGATAAACAAAGTCTATTTCAAAATACACCAGTAACTGGTCTAATGGATATAAATTCTCACCCTATAAAATTAATCTAAACATCCCAAACATTTTTGTAGTTACAAAATGTACGAGAGAGAGAGAGAGAGAGAGAGAGAGAGAGAGAGAGAGAGAGAGAGAGAGATGCAGTGATCGCGTAATGGGACCTCTACTGGACATAGAGATGTGTATATAAATTTTATTAATGATAATTTATCATAAAAAGTTGTATCTGTTACAACTAGAGGCCGGGGTTTGCTAGCAAACCTGGTTTTGAAAAAAAAAATGTATTTAGTTTTTAAAACGTTTTATATCTTAATAGTTTATCAGTTTATTAACATAGTTAAAACATTCATTTATCATTAAATTATTTAAGAGCAAAAGAAATTAAAGAATAATACTGCAAGAATAATACAGAGAAGCATCGTAACTAAGCAGATTTGGCTGTTGGTTACATGACTTTGTGTCCACTTCACTAGGTGCATGGACTAGACCTGATCTCTCTGTGGATTACCTGTGTATTGTATGCGTTCAAGCGGAAAGTGATTTCCTGTCTCTAATTGACATATTTCACAGTATTGCAGAATTAGTTTTATAAATGCAAAAACTTGATAAAATGACATGTAAAAAAAAAAAAATAATAATAATTTAGCAAGTGCGTGTGTAGTGGGGGGGGGGGGGGGGGTGTTAATGGTCAATATAATTGTATAGTGTTTATAAGACAATCCCCTATGTCTTAGAGAATGTTAATCAAAGTTACTAAGAACTGACACTCTTTAAGACAAACTAGTGCATATTTTAAGAACAGAAATGGATCTTTACCTTTTATTTTCCGTAAGAAGATTAATTGAATAAATGATAATTACATATTTTGCATTTGAGAGTAACAATGTTATCACCCCTCCCCATTTTTTCTTTCCACAACACCGCTATATATTATACTGAGGACTTGAAATAATGATGTGAAATCTGAAGTATAATGTTATTAAAAATTAAATGCACAAATTGTTGAATGATAATTCAACCCCAGCCCCCTACAACCCACCCAACCCACACCGAGATACAAAGAACCAGTCATCTAAAAAAGTATTTAAATTCAGACATTTTGAAAAATGACTGAGTCCAAAGTAGGTACATTTTATGCACACTGGAAAATATTTAAGTTCAACATAGGTACATTTCTGGCACACTGAAAAATGACAAAGTTCATAGTAGGTAAGATGGAAAATATCTAAGTTCAAAATAGGTACATTCTAGGCACACTGAAAAATAACAAAGTTTAAAATAGGCACATTTCAGGCACACTGTAAAATGACAAAGTCCAAATTAGGTACATTTTAGGTACACTGAAAAATGACAAAGTCTAAAGTAGGCACATTTCAGGCACACTGTAAAATGACAAAGTCCAAATTAGGTACATTTTAGGTACACTAGAAAAAAATTAAGTTCATTTTTGGTACAGAATAGGTATGCCTTTTCTGTACCTATAATAGTAGGTACACATTAGGCACAGAAAAGGCACAAAAAAGGTATGCCTATATGTACCTTTTTTTTGTATGGGATGCCAGAATTTAATAATAAGAATTCAATCTTATGGATTAGATCCTTGCTATAATGATCAACGTATATATTGTTACAAATTAACATGTTTAAAATACTCACAAAAATTGTCCAATGTAAATGAATGCACATGTAAAAGCTCTTTGAACATACTGTAGGAATACTTTTTTCGGTGTGGTATTAATTTACAATTTGTATGCGATCACGAATTGTTCACAGACTCAAATTACTTGTGTGAGAAATCTGCATAATTTTCTACAAGCAGATTCAAGAGAAGTTGAGATTCCACAGAATTAAGACCCCGTGGGGAATAGTACATCAACAGTTTGTTAAAATGGCCAAGAAAATACTGTAGATTCCTAATTATATGTGAGGAATTAATTTCTGCGAAGTGTCACTGGCGAAAAAATATTTACATTACATATTTTGCATATAATAAAATGAATGGAAATCTATTGCATTCAAAGCACCATAACACAGACAGGGTGCCAAGAGGTTAAAACATGCGTTTTAGTTTGACTTAATCACTGAACACTGAGGAAGTGCAACGTCACAAGTGAAAATCAAGAATTCACGTTCAAATTGACCAGAAGCTGTTACGTTTGCTGATCTATTAAATGTAGCTTACACGAATTTAAGGATAATACATAGGTTTTTGAATAGAAAGCACATTTGCAGTTATGGTAGAAAGTTAGAAAATGTAAATATAAGCAATGATTCATTATTTTTTGAGTGATATAGTTTCATAAATGCAACAGTGTGTGCAAATTTTCATGATGCTTAAATATTACGCGCCTTTAATTTTATGATGCTGAAATCTATATAAATTCTGTTGATCAATCGTTCATTTACGAATTATAATTCTCGCATTTTATGTGAAAGACCCAGTTCACGATAAAAAGTACTTGCAAAAAATAAGGAATCAACAGTATTTCATGCATTATTGATGCAGCATAGCAGCAGGACTAGCAGAGAATCAGACTTGGATGGTATTACATGGTTGCCTTTCAAGTTCTATATTCCAACTAGCACACACTTTTAACATGGGCAGTATATTATCTATAACACAGTGTATTTTCTATTTCACAGTTTTAACATGGGCAGTGTATTTTCTGGCCACCCATCAGGACATTCAGGATAAAGTCTACAAAGAGATCAAAAAAGTTCTAGGAGAAGAAGATGTAGACCCTAAAACATACAAAGATTTAGTGTAAGTAGGATGTAGTTTAGAATCTTTAATAAGTAGGATGTATACAAACAAACATTCTGTGTATGTAAACCTAAGTACAGCTAGAGATTAAGTATAAATAAGATATACGTGTAGGTCCTTAGACAAAGATTTACCGGTAGTGTTAATTTAGACCTTCGTATAGCAAAAATTGTAGTTTAAGTGTAGACCTTATTAAACATAGTCAAAGATTCACTATTACAATCAGTAGCATAGGCAGTAAAACTTGTTTATAAGAAAGTCACTGGGACCTGTGAAATTACTTCACTATATCCTTAATTCTTTAGATCAGTAAAACAAAGTCGTAAAATTAAAATAAATATAGTTTGAAATTAATAAATACTTTGCTATATCCCATATATATTTGCAATATTTGTGTTTGTTCTAAAGTTTTACTTAGACCATAGTTAGACAAAGGCATACTATGTATAGATACAGGGATATTTTGTCCCTGTTTTAATTCGCTTCTTTGGCTCTAATCACAGACGGATGAATTTAAAACAAGGTGAATTAAAAGAACACAATATAATCTCTTCAACAAAAATATGACTGAGCCAGTTTAAAATTGGATAAAAATGTCTGCAGATATGAAAGGACAAAAAATAACGGGGGGCAAAAATAACCCTGGATGTATACAGTAGTGAATTGTTCTGAAATATCTTGTCTGTTTATGTTGTTGTGGAATTACATAATTTCTACTCATTCAGTCTCAGATGTATTTTTCCATTTTGTCATCAGGGCAACATGAAGAAGTATGATGCAATATACCAATTCTCAATGATTTTGTTTTTGTTAGGTACCTGCACCAAGTTATTGATGAGACTTTAAGGTGTGCAGTTGTGGCCCCCTGGGCCGCTAGATTTCAGGATTTCGACTCCGAGCTTGGAGGGCATAAAATTCCAAAAAATGTAAGACTCCTCCTGATTCTGATTTAAAACATTAATTTCATCACAAAAACATGTGTAGAAAGCCATATAGAGAAAATGATCATATTGTAACAATGTTGGTGTTTTTTTTAGACATAATTCAGATAATTTTAACTGTGAAATTGATAGGAAACTGATGAAACCGAAGTGGCATTTGCATGCATGGTGCCATCAGGTGCATTTACATGCATACTGTATACCAATTTTTATCCCCAATGAACTTTATTTCACTATTTACCAGGGATAAACTAGTTCATGATGTTCAATTTTTGCTATCAAGCCTTTTTGGATTTGTTGTTATTAAGAGACATACACTTTAAGGACTGGTTCGCTGCAAGAAATATTCATGATGACGAATCAAAGTTGGTTTGGATCTTGTTTTGATTTCAGACTCCTGTGATTCATGCCCTCGGTGTGAGTCTGCAGAATGAAAAATACTACCCCGTTCCCAACAAGTAAGTACATGTACTACATGTACCACTTACCCAAGAAGTAAGATTAAAATGTTTATATGACAAATAAAAAAAAACATGCACACTGTATTTAAAAAGTTTACAAAGTTTTCCAGAATAACTGTTGTTAATAAGTTGGGTGATCTCATGCCCAATGAATGTTCTGGAAGTGTGCATTTCTATATGCAGCAGCTTGAAAGTTTGTTAAACCTTAGAATTGGGGTTATTGCTATCGAGGAAAAAAACCTACTCAAACATAAATTAGTATGTTTGTTTGACAAATCTGGTACACTGTATTCAGAAAGATTACAATATGCTCCTTAATAAAATTTCAAACCCAATAAATGTTCAAGAAGTGAGCATTTTCTAAATTCACCGAGCATGAAAAAGTAAATGTTTGTTTAGAATTTGGTTAATTGCTTCCTGGGAAAGAAAAGCTCGGAAACCTTTGAAATTGTCACTAATTGTAGTTCAGACTAGCATCTGAGCCTGTTTGATTGTGAACATCCCTAAATCAATATACTTGTAAGGTTAGTGTAGGAAGGGCTGATAGTTACATTGAAATGGATTAGTTTAAATGAATAAAAATATTGTTTTCTTGATTAGGGGCAGTTTCTTCACTATATTTCAATCTGTTGATTTTCCTATTGAAGAATATGGAATATTAAAATAAGCCTGTCTGAATTACATGAATCAGAAAACATTTCAATTGTTGAAATGAAATGAAGAATTTTGTGAGAAACACTACAGTATTTGCTTCCTTTTATAGGTTTGATCCAGATAGATTTAGTCCTGAAAACTCAAAGTCCAGGCCAAGTCTTGCCTTCCAGCCGTTCGGATTTGCTGGAAAGAGGATCTGTCCCGGATACAAATTTGCCTATGTTGAAGCCACAATAGGACTTGTGACCTTGCTAAGAAAGTTCAAGGTCAAACTGATTGAAGGTCAGGTTGTGACCCCAGTTTATGGCCTTGTAACTCATCCTGAAGATGAGATATGGGTCAAAATAGAGAAAAGATAAAATGGATTGTTTTAAAAGTGTTCCTTCATTTGATTTCTAAAATTGAATATAACATCAGATCAAGTTGCAATATACAACTTGATTGTTTTAAGACAATACAGTTTTGAACTGTGGAAACTGGTGATTGCATTCTGTAGATTAAGGCTTAATAATGGACTTTTGCGAAGACACTGACTTTTACAGCTGACGGCTTACTTCCTTAAACACCAGGAAAATGTATGGGAGCTCTTGTCTGAAAAAATATTGATCTTAATATTTAACAAATCGATAATAACAGGTTATTTCAAAGATCATATGACGTTGTCTACGAGGGAAACGGCGACAATCCTACCCTCAACACCCTCCATTCCAGTCTTGACTAACTCCTGCCAAATTTTCCTACCGAAATGTGGCTTCTTCTTTTATTATTTCATTTCTTTAGTTATTGAAAATAAAAGGATATATTAATTCTCGTGAATAAAGTATCTAAATAAATTTTATCCTACAACCAATTATATTTTTTGTTTGATAAATTATTTCAAAGCCCCGAATACAATAAATTTCACCTCAGTGCATGTTTTCCTATCCATTTTCAATTCCGTACATGATGCAGGTTTAAATGTCCAAGTAAACCGTAAACTGTAAAAGTCAGTGTCTTTGCAAAAGTCCATTTATGTTATTATCTGTATAAACAAACTCTATGAGAAGCACTTATTTCTATAGTTGCCTTAAAGTAACTTGAACAGAGTTATGAACTCGCATAATCATGTAGAAATTGTTCAAATAAGTCATCTGCTGTGGATTCACTTGGTTAATTTACCTAAAGGTCAATATCACTAGTCAATTTTGTTTCTTGTCTGCCTCAGTCCTCAGAAGCTGGTCTTTCACTCTACACCAGAACACACTAGTCTTCTAGGAAATATGCTTATACATGATAAAAAATATAGTGGATTAAATTTCATTCTCCTTTGATTTTCAAACATTTTGTGAACTCAACAGATATTAAAATGAATTTTGTATTTATTTATGAAATGAGGTGAAATTGTTATAAGGCTAAGCTTGTTTTACTGTATTTGGAATTTTTGAAGCAATGTACAAATGTAACTCAATTGTGAGCCCTCAACTGATCAAAGAGTTATAATCATTGACAACATTTCTTTTCAGAAAGGGTTTTTTTTTGGGGGGGGGATGCTTGTGTCATAGCTGTGTAAACAATGAATTGTAGCAGGAAGGCTATTTATCAGTGTAAATAGTGATTGCATTATGTGTCTATAGGTTAACATTACATGTAACATAATGTGACCTATCATCTAGCTGTCAGATATATAGTCTTTAGCTGCATCTTGGTTGGCAATTTTTTCTTGGGGTAAAAATTTTCAATATAATATACCATCACTGATTTGCAATACAGCAAAACTCCGTTATAACAAAGTCACTGGGACCTGTGAAATTACTTCACTATATTCGTAATTTGTTATAACCGTATAAGAAATTCATTAAATTTATATAGCTGGGGATCCAAGATGACTTCGCTTTATCCGTGAATTCGCAATATCCGTGTTTGTACTAAAAGAGTTTTACTGTATTCACCATACTGAACGTTTTATACATTCCACTATATTGTGTGCATGATGTCTGTGAGATAAACACATTTTTGGAATATCACTTGTCCTATATACTGTTGATTGCTGCTATGTTCTTTCACACATGATGGCGAGGTTCCATTATTAATAGTATAGGAAAATAATGCACATTAATTAGTGTTTTTTACCAATTATTTCTCAACAAATAAGATTCATCTTGTTTACATGAAAAAATTACATCAGGACATGTTAATTGTTGATATGTTGCTTGTGTAAAGGAAAATGTTTATCAACTTGAAGCTGCTTTTACAATTGGTCATGTTTTGTCAAATGAAATGGGTTCACTCTTTGTTGTTTATTAAGAGATAAATCTTAATGTCTCTTTAATTTTATGTTTAAATATTATGTAATTAGATTAGTGCTAGAAATAAATGGTGCTACAGAATGATAGAGTTGGCGTACTTTGTCTGAGATACATTACCAGTTTTAATTTGTGGCTGCCTCATCAGCCGCTTAGTGAACTTGACAAGTTCTGGCATTGAAAATTATAGAAAATGAGGACACTTATTTTAAGGTACATTGATACTCTGATAAGAGAGATAACTCTTAATGACACAAATGTCTATATTTCCTTTATTTTTTTGTCAAGTTTAAGTGACTTTTTTGTCAAATTTTGCCCTGCAAACCATGATACAATTGTTTGTATTTTATTCAGCATTTCCCTTGGAAAATCATAATAGTTATAAAGAAAAATTTCATATAAGTGAGCAGAGGGTTTATGAACCTTAAAAGGGAGAGAATCCAGTCAGTTTTGTTTTCTGTCTGTCCATTCTTCAACTTTGACCATTACATTTGAAATTGTATATTAGGGCTTGTATACGTCTGTGTTAAGGTCAAAGTATCATCTTATATCAATATTCATATATGTATGGTCTATAAAATGTTTTAATAATAATAAAATTATGTATTTTTTCTTAATAGCTTTTGAAAGTTTTATATACCTTTCTTGATTTTATTATTATATCTTATTGATATCGTGCAAGTGCAATTGCATATTTTCCCCTCTGTCCAGAACTTGGGTTCTAGGGTGTTCATCCCAGGTAGGGTAGGGATACGTTTTTCCCAGGTGGGGGAGGGTAAAATTGGTCCCAGGTAGGGTAGGGCTTAGTTGATTCCATTTAGGGTAGTGCTAATTTGGACCCAGGTAGGGTAGGGTAAAGTTGGTCCCAGGTGGGATAGAGCTAAATCGGTCCCAGGTAGGGTAGGGCTATGTTGGACCAAGGTGCGGTAGGGCTAATTATAAGTTTGTCCCAGGTATGGTAGGTCCTAGACTGTCCCCAGAAGGGTAGAGCTAAGTTGGTCCCATGTGGGGTAGGGCTAAGTTGGTCATGTAATGTATTTTTGATTGACTTCTGAGCATTTTAACCATTTGACAATGAACATTAAAATCTATCAAAAAATGTATACAATTCTGTCATGTGCAACCAGAATTATTGTCCTAGATGGACTAGGACGGTCATATATTGAGAAGCAAGAGACCCAAACATTGCCAAGAAATATGGGGCACTACTGTAACAAGGTATAGATCACGATATGTTTCAAGCAGTTGCAACAAGCACATGGAAGTAAATTCCTTTTATGTAAAGAAGATAGATAAAGTGAAATAAAACAAACAATCTATCACTTCTTACTGAAAATGGTCAATTGCTAAAAATACTAACTCTCGGTTAAAACAATGCATTTAAATTTTATAAGTGTCTGGTTGGTCATTGTATCATACGGGCAACCTTCAATTGACCTAGTGCTATACTTGATTCAAATTATATACATTTTTGAAGTGGCCGGTGTAACGTTGAATTTTGACCCGGGTTGAAAATTGACCCGGGGTCATTTTTCAATGTTGAATAGTGAGACCAAAGGTGTTGAATTTAGACCCTAGCCCGTTGAAAACTGACCCGGGTCGTGGAATTTTGATCATGAAACCGGTTCAAAATTCAACAGCATAAAAACACATATTTATGACTTGATTTTCATAACAGTGATTTAATCCATAATCGTCGGGAACGGGGGGGGGGGGGGGGTAGGGATGCTTAACCCCTTTTTTGCAAAGTTAAACATAATATAGACATGCATTGAACAATGTGAAATTGGTTTAGCCCCCCGCTTTTAACAAGCACGTTACAGTGTAGTCAAAGAAAGAAGAGTAAGTGTTAGTGCTTGAAAAAAAATTGGATCCCCCCTAGGATTGTCGGATTTGGACTACTAGTTTGGACAATGGACAAATTTTCTTTTTCTTGTCAATTTTTTTTTTTCAGATTTGAATTTTTTTTCTTTGTGAATTTTTACATGAATGTTTTGAATTGCGTTCCAAAAATAAAGTTCAATTATAATATATATATTGATCAATGCATTTATCAGCTCATCGCTGTCCATACTATAATGCTTGCATAATGGTTATGTTTAATCTTCAAGAAAACTCTGCATAGTTGACTTCACTGATCCATACACTTGTATGTATGTATGTTTTTTATTGTCTTTTATATGTAACATGGTTGTATGCCAACATGTTTGGTGAATCAATAAAGAAATTGATTTGAATTGAAATTTCAATTTGCACCCCCCCCCCCCCCCCACCGCACTTTCAATTTCCTTCTGACATCAATATAATCAATGCAGCATAATTCAGTAATTAAGGTATATTTTTAGAATAAAACATTCAAAAACATAAATTATCTTAGATTTCAAAGTTACTTGTAGCTTAAAATCGTAATATTTCGTGTAATATTTATTTTAAAAGAAGTACATATGTATATGTAGATCTTGAATATTAGAAAACATTGCTAGACAATATACAATTTAGTTAAAAAATTTATTTATTTATTTATTTATATATATATTTATTTGTTTATTTATTTATTTATTTTGCTTCATTTATTTTAATGTTAAAATTCGTAATATTAGTACTTGGAAAATGGTGAAAGTTTAACCATGAAGCACGTACGTTTTAATGCTTAAATTTAGTTATGCACAACATTATATAATAACTTATAATGTCCAACTTGAAAACTGATTTTTTTCATAATAAAAGGTTTGAGTAATCTTTTTTGCATAGTTAAAGTCATATATGGCGTATGTACACTGAAAATTATTAGACTAAAATTATAAAGAACTTATTTGTATCATTACAAATATAAAGATAGAACTTTTCCGTGAATTACAAAATCTAAGTCAATTGCGTTATAAAGATATCACAATTTAATGTGAATTCTCGGAATTTTCTCCGACTCGGAAGAAAATACAAAAGATTTAAATAACACATTACAGAGAAGATAAAATCGTATTATTAGTTGATTCGAGGTGTTCTTCGCGTTCGGAATTGTATGAAAAGCTTTAATTTAAATGTATGAACTATATTTATTTACTTAATTTTGTATTTTTCAAAAATATATTTTTTTGATCAGTTACGCCATATATGGCTTTAATCCAACAGATCGAGAACGAACATATTTATTTTTTTAAGTAGAGGATGTAAAAGGGGGGTACCATATATATTTGAAGAATGTTTTTTTTTTTTTTTTTTTTTTTTTTTTGTATTAGTATATTTGTGGCTGTTTTCTTCATTTTTGTAGTTTTTCAATCAAAAAATGTTTGCCTAAGATACACAACCCTGACTTTTAGCATTATTTTTTTGTTATAAAGTAGCCAAAATATAACATTGATCACCCAAAAATCGGGGAAACACAGGCTAGTTTGTGAGGAATTTTTGAAACGGCCCTTCCATCCAATTAGATAAACATGGTTTGGTTTTCAACATTGGCTGGTTTCCCTATCCCCTTTTTGTTTGCTTGTTTGTTTCGTTTCGTTTATTTATTTTGTTTATGGTTTTTTGTCACAATATTTCAGAGGGTTTTGACACCATACCCCCGCCTCCGAAAAAAAAAATTAGGATTCTCTCTCTCTCTCTTTGAAGGGGAATGCGCTTTTTAGTTTTTTAGATCTAAAGAAGTTGCAGGGACGGCGTCTTTTTAATTGTTGATATCAAAGATGGTGGAAGTGTAGCTGCTAGTCCATCCCTGACTCTAACTCTAGTTCTCATTCTCAAGGTAATGCTCCGAAAATGATCGATTTTTAGGGCGAGGCAGGCTACTGACAGATAATTTTCTTACAGGGATTTCACCAACCTTGTATAAAGTCAGCATTACTTTACATTTTATGGTCGCTATATTGATCTTTTGAATTCTTTTCACCAATATAAGCTATCATTGGATTCATTTTAACCGATGTGTTTCATTCTGATTTTTAGGCTCTTTTGTTAATTTTTATATACTGAATTTGACTAGAAGGGATGTTCTGCACACCTGATCAATACAATATTATATAGTACTCACTTTCTAGACACCAGATTTCCATGGTTTTGTTTTATGTCCTATTCATAGTTTTGTAGTTATTTGTTACATTAAAGTTTTAGAATTCAGAGAATTTAAAACTAACTATAACAATCTGGTTATATTATATGAATTTTAATTCATAATGATTTGCCATTTTTTTAATTTGTTTTGATTTTTATGAAAATAATTCTTTTTTTTCTTAACTTCAAATTCACTATATTTTATTTAGTTTTCTTCAAAATATTTAAACTTTTATTTCTTTTTCACATAAAAATATACTCTTTCGGATATCAGTAAAATGTGGAATTTGAGCAATCTGTCACCTATCGGAAATCAATTTACTCATGACAGATTGCGAATCAATTATTTTA